CATCCTGTGCCCATCCCTCCAGGGTCCATCCCTCTTCCACGCCCGTCCACTCATCGTGTGCTCATCCAGCCCGGCTTTACTCACTGCCTGCTCACACCCGCCCTTCCGTCCACTCATCTGTCCTTCTGTCCACTCATCCTCCCTTCTGTCCGCTCCTCCACCCTTCCATCCATTCATCCATCTGATCGTGCCTCCAGATTCCTGCCCATCCATCCATCCATCCATCCATCCATCCATCCATCCATCCATCATCCATCCATCATCCATCCATCCATCATCCATCCATCCATGATCCATCCATCATCCATCCATCCATCCATCCATCATCCATCCATCCATCCATCCATCCATCCATCATCCATCCATCCATCCATCCATCCATCCATCCATCCATCATCCACCCATCCGTCTGTCCCTCTGACACCTCTCACTGTCCATCCCCACCCATTGGTCATCCACCCACCGTCCATGGCCTTGTCCATCCATGGATTGTCCATCCGTCCATCCTCCCACCCCTGGATATCCTTGTCAGTCCATCTCCTCATGGACACCCCTCCATCCGTGGATGGACTTGTCCATCTGTCCATCCATCTGCCCATCCATGGACTTGTCCATGGATTGTCCATCTGTCCCTCTGACGCCTCTTGCTGTCCATCCCCACCCACTGGTCACCCTCTGTCCCACACCACCTTTTGGGGTGTCCCCTGACCCCTTTGGGGTCTCCCCCAGTTTGGGGTGTCCCCTGACCCCCGTGGGGTGTCCCCCCGGTCCGGGGTGTCCCCTGACCCCCGTGGGGTGCCCGCAGAGGACACGGTGCGCCGCGTGGACCTGGTGTCGGCCTCGGTGGTCGTGGTCGGGGTCATCGCCGCCGTCCTGCTCTGCGTCCTCGTCATCGTCGTGGTGGTCATGACCCTGTACCACAAACGCAAGACCCAGCGCATCTCCGAGAAGTAGTAAGGGAGGGGACATGGGGACACGGGGGGGACACGGGGGGACACGGGGGGACACAGTACATGGAGAGACATGGGGATGCAGGGGACACAAGGGACGTGGGGGACGTGGGGACAGAGGAGACATGGGGGGACACTGGGGGACATGGGGACATGGAGAGACATGGGGACACAAGGGACAAGGATGGACATGGGGGACATTGAGGGACATGGGGACACGGGGGGACACGGAGGGATGCAGGTACATGGAAGGACATGGGACACAGGGGACATGGGGACGTGGAGGGACATGGGGGACACTGGGGGACATGGGGACATGGTGGGATATGGGGACACAGGGAGATGGAGGATCATGGGACACAAGGGGACATGGAGGGACATTGGGGGACACGGGGGGACACTGGCGGATACAGGTGCATGGAGGGACATGGGGACACAGGAGACACTGAGGGACATGGAGGGACTTGGGGACGTGGGGGATGTGGGGGACAGGGGAAAAGGGAGACAGGAAGTTGCAGGGGGACACACGGGGACACAATGGGGACATGGGATAGACACAGAGGACATGGCAGGACACGAGGGACACAGGGGACACGGGGGACAGGGGTGACACACGGGATGTGGGAGATGGACACGGCCATGAGGGGACAAGGGACGACATGGGGGGGGGCACAGCAGGATGCGTGGGGACAGGGGGGATGACACGGGGCCGGTGCTGAGTGTCCCCCGTGTCCCCAGCGAGGAGGAGCTGACGCTGACCCGGGAAAATTCCATCCGGAGGCTCCACTCCAGCCACAGCAGCGACCCCCGGGCACAGGTGGGGACACGGAAACCGGGGGGGCCTGGGAGGGGCTTGGGGAGCCCCCCAGAGGGGCTGGGGGGGCCTGGGGGGGTGCAGGGCCTTGGGGTGCCCAAGGAAGGGGGGTTGGGTTGGGCTGTGGGGTGTCCGTGGGATCAGACTTTGGGATATCCGTGGGGTCTCCATGGAATCAAACTGGGGAATGTCCATGGGGTGTCCATGGGGTCGGACTTTGGGGTGTCCCTGGAATGTCCATGGGGTCAGACTTTGGGGTGTCCATGGAGTGTCCATGGGGTCGGACTTTGGGGTGTCCTTGGAATGTCCATGGGGTTGGACTTTGGGGTATCCCTGGAATGTCCATGGGGTCTCCAGGCATGTCCATGGCATGTCCATGGAGTGTCCGTGGGGTGTCCTTGGTGTGTCCATGGCGTGTCCGTGGGGTCTCCATGGGGTGTCCATGGGATCAGACTTTGGGGTGTCCTGGGATGTCCTGGGGTGTCCATGGGGTGTCCTGGGGTCTCCATGGGGTTTCCTTGGGGTGTCCTTGGTGTGTCCATGGCGTGTCCATGGGTGTCCATGGGTGTCCATGGAGTGTCCATGGGGTGTCCTGGGGTGTCCATGGGTGTCCATGGCGTGTCCATGGAGTGTCCATGGGGTGTCCATGGGTGTCCATGGAGTGTCCATGGGGTGTCCATGGGTGTCCATGGAGTGTCCATGGGGTGTCCGGGGGTGTCCATGAGTGTCCATGGCGTGTCCATGGGGTGTCCTGGGGTGTCCATGGGGTGTCCATGGGGTATCCAGGGGTGTCCTGGGGTGTCCATGGCGTGTCCATGGGGTGTCCATGGAGTGTCCATGGGGTGTCCTGGGGTGTCCATGGGGTGTCCTGGGGTGTCCGGGGTGTCCGGGGCGCTGACCAGCCTGTCCCAGCTGGAGGAGACGCTGCAGCTGCGGACGGAGAGTCGCCAGGGCAGCCTGCGAGGGGACAGCTTGAGAGGGGACAGCCTGCGAGGGGACAGCCTGCGAGGGGACAGCCTGCGTGGCACCAGCATCTGCTCCGCCATGGTGAGACACGGGGGACACCGGGGGACACGGGGTCACCGCGTTCCTGTCCCCAGTGACACTCCTGGCCCCAGTGGCACCATGTCCCCCACAGGGCCCGTGTCACTGGTGATGTCCATGTCCCCATGGTGCCCACATCACCTGGTCCTCCCCATGTCCCCACTGGTGTCCCTGTCCTTGCCCTTGTTCTGATCAGTGCCCGTGTCCCAAATGTCCCCATGGTGGCCATGTCCTTGGTGGCACCCATGTCCCCAGCACTGTCCATGTCCCCAGCAGTCCCTATGTCCTCATGGTGTCAATGCCATGCCTCCATATGTCCCCATGTCCCCATGGTTCCAATGTCCCCACGGTGCCCTTGTCCCCACCAATCCCCGCCCCGCCCCACGCCCGGTGGCGCCCCTGACGTGTCCCTTGTCCCTTGTCCCCAGAGCGAGGAGCCCGAGGGCCGCAGTTACTCCACGCTCTCCACGGTGCGGGAGATCGAGACGCAGACCGACGTCCCCGTTGTCCCCGCTGTCCCCGCGGTGCCACCGGCGCCCGGCGGGAAGGAGCCCAAGGAGGAGGAGGAGGAGGGGGGCGGCGGGGGGGACCCCATCAAGGCGGCCATGACGCACTTCGTGCAGGAGAACGGGATGCTGCAGGCCAAGCCCAGCTCCAACGGCATCTACATCAACGGCCGCGGCCACCTGGTGTGAGCCGGGCCCCGGGGGGACACCTGGGGACACCTGGGGACAGCCAGGGCACGGCCAGCCCCCCCCCCCGCGCCCGCCTGGCTCTGTCCCCTCCGCTCCGGTCCCCGGTGTCACCTCCCTGCTGGTGTGGGGTTGGGGACAAGGACAGTGCCCCAGGACTGTGTCACCTCCCTGCTGGTGTGGGGTCAAGATGGACTCTGGTCCTTGGGTGTCACCTCCCTGCTGGTGTGGGGTTGGGGACAAGGACAGTGCCCCAGGACTGTGTCACCTCCCTGCTGGTGTGGGGTCAAGGATGGACTTCAGTCCCCAGGTGTCACCTCCCTGCTGGTGTGGGGCTGGGGACAAGGACAGTGCCCCAGGACCGGCTGCGGTCCCCGGGTGTCACCTCCCTGCTGGTGTGGGGTCAAGCAAAGACTCTGGTCCCCAAGTGTCACCTCCCTGCTGGCACATGGAGTTGGGGACACCACCAAGCCCCAGGACATTCGTGTCACCTCCCTGCTGGCACATGGAGTTGGGGACACCACCACGCCCCAGGACATTCTTCAGTCCCCAAGTGTCACCTTGCTGCTGGCACAGGCTTGGGGACACCACCGAGCTCAAGGACATTCTCCGGTCCCCAAGTGCCACCTCCCTGCTTCAGAGATGGACTCTGGTCCCCAGGTGCCACCTCCCTGCCATCACAGGCTTGGGGACGAGCCCCAGGACAAGCTCCTGTCCCCAGGTGTCCCCTCCCTGCTGGCGTGGGGTCAAGGATGAACTCTGGTCCCCAAGTGCCACCTCCCTGCTGTCACTGGCTTGGGGACACCACCAAGCCCAGGACAAGCTCCTGTCCCCAGGTGCCACCAACCGCGGGCTAGGGACACTCGTGGTGACACCGGGGACCCCCGAGGACTCCCCAAACTCCCCAGGACGGAGCGGGGCAGGAGCCCCCGTGTCCCCCCAGACCCCCCCGGGCTGGGTGGCACTGGGGACAGCCGTGTCCCCCCAACCCCCCCGGGCTGGGTGGCACTGGGGACAGCCGTGTCCCCTCTCCCCCTGGGACTGTGGTGGCATTGGGGACAGCCGTGTCCCCTCCCCCCCGGGCTGGGGGAGGGGCTGTACAGCCGTGTATAGACCCTGTAAATAAAGGACCCGCGGGACTGGGCCCGAGTGTGACAGCTTGGGGACACTGGGGACACTGGGGGGACACGGGGGGGACACTGAAACACTCGGGTGACGTGGGTAATGTGGGTGACGTGGGAGCGACACTGAGACACGCGGGTGACACGGCAACACAGCAGGTGACACGGGGGTGGCATGGGTGACACGGTGACATGTGGGTGACACTGAGACACGGGGGTGACACGGGGGTGACCCCCAGGGCGTGTCCCCTTTCACACACACGTGTCCCCTGTCCCCAGGGCGTGTCCCTTGCACACGCGTGTGCGCAGGCGTCCCCGCCCTCGCTGTGGTTTCGCGGCCGCGGGGAGCAGGAAGCGCCTCGAGCGCGGCCTCCGCCTTCCTGCCACCCCCACGGGGACAGCGCCGGGACCCCCCTGGCGTGGCCCCCGTGTCCCCGGCCGTGTCCCCCGCGCTGTCCCCAGCCGTGTCCCCATGTCCCTGGCGCTCAAGGCCCGGCAGCGGGCGAGGCGCAAGGGCGGCTCCCGGGAGCGGCTCTTCGGCTGCGACCTCCGCGAGCATCTCCAGCGCTCGGGGCAGGACGGTGAGTGCCACCACCCTGCCCACCCCCCGAGCCCCCCGGGGGCCACCAGGGCCACCGGGGCCACCAACGGAAGCGGGGAAGGGGCCCCGGAGGGGACTCGAAGGGGACTTGCGCCACCCGTTGCGTCACCGGGGCTCCAGGAAGCGTCGCGGCCACCGAGGCTCGGCCGGGATTTGGGGGGGTTGGAGCTCGGTGGGGCTCCAATCACGGGGGGGTTGGCCCTGAGTGGTGGGGGGGTCTGTTCCTTGGGGTTGGTGGCTTCATCCTTTGGGATTTGGTGACCTCATCCCCGTGGATCTGGTGGCTCCATCCTTTGGGATTTGGTGGCCTCATCCCCACCGATTTGGTGGCCCCGTTCCTCAGGATTTGGTGGCCTCATCCCGGTGGAGTTGGTGGCTCCATCCTTTGGGATTTGGTGGCCTCATCCTCGCGGAGTTGGTGGCTCCATCCTTTGGGATTTGGTGGCCTCATCCCGGTGGAGTTGGTGGCTCCATCCTTTGGGATTTGGTGGCCTCATCCCCATGGATCTGGTGGCTCCACCCTTTGGGATTTGGTGACTCTGTCCTTCTGGAGTTGGTGGCTCCATCCTTTGGAATGTGGTGGCCTCATCCCCACGGATTTGGTGGCCCCGTTCCTCAGGATTTGGTGGCCTCATCCCGGCGGAGTTGGTGTCCTCATTTCTTGGGATTTGGTGGCCTCGTCCTGTGGGGTTGGTGGCTCCATCCTTTGGGATTTGTGGCCTCATTCCTGTCAAACCAGTGATCCCAATGTGGAGTTGGTGGCCTCATCCCTGGAGTTGGTGGCCCAGGACGGGTGCAGGGACCCGGTGGGGACATCCAGGGGGTGCTGGCCGAGGTCCTCCCCATCCCCCAGTGCTGGTGGGGCCAGGGCCAGGTGGGAGATGCCAAATCTGGGATCTGGGCTGGGTCCAGGTGGGCAATGCCAAATCTGGGATCTGGGCTGGGTCCAGGTGGGCAATGCCAAATCTGGGATCTGGGCTGGGTCCAGGTGGGCAATGCCAAATCTGGGATCTGGGCTGGGTCCAGGTGGGCAATGCCAAATCTGGGATCTGGGCTGGGTCCAGGTGGGCAATGCCAAATCTGGGATCTGGGCTGGGTCCAGGTGGGCAATGCCAAATCTGGGATCTGGGCTGGGTCCAGGTGGGCAATGCCAAATCTGGGATCTGGGCTGGGTCCAGGTGGGCAATGCCAAATCTGGGATCTGGGCTGGGTCCAGGTGGGCAATGCCAAATCTGGGATCTGGGCTGGGTCCAGGTGGGCAATGCCAAATCTGGGATCTGGGCTGGGTCCAGGTGGGCAATGCCAAATCTGGGATCTGGGCTGGGTCCAGGTGGGCAATGCCAAATCTGGGATCTGGGCTGGGTCCAGGTGGGCAATGCCAAATCTGGGATCTGGGCTGGGTCCAGGTGGGCAATGCCAAATCTGGGATCTGGGCTGGGTCCAGGTGGGCAATGCCAAATCTGGGATCTGGGCTGGGTCCAGTGGGCACTGATGGATCCAGGATCAGCTGGGCTCTGATAGATCCAGGATCATTTGGGCTCTGGTAGATCTGGGATTAGCTGAGCTCTGTCAGGTCTGGGCTCAGTTGCTCTTGGATCTGGGATCAGACTCTCTCAGATCTGGGCTCAGCTGGGCTTTGCTAGGTCCAGGATCAGCTGGGCTCTGGAATTCGAGCTCAGTTGGGCTCTGTGGGATCTGGGACCAGTGGGACCCAGTGGGATCCCGTGGGATCAGGGCTCAGTGGGATCCTGTGGGATCAGGGACCACTGGGATCCCGTGGGATCGGGCTCACCGGGACCCCGTGGGGCCGGCTCGTGTCCCGCAGTGCCGCAGGTGCTCCGGAGCTGCACGGAGTTCGTGGAGCAGCACGGGGTGGTCGATGGCATCTACCGCCTGTCTGGGGTGTCCTCCAACACCCAGCGGCTGCGGTCAGCGCGGCGGGAACGGGAATGGGATCAGTGGGATGGGATGGGATCCATGGGATGGGATCCATGGGATGGGATCCATGGGGGGGGATGGGGATGGGATGGGATGGGATGGAGCGGGAATGAGGACGGGAACAGGGATGGGGAGGCATAGGGATGGGGATGGGGGTGGGTCAGGGTGGGATCGGGATTGGGACAGGGCAGGGATTGGTTTGGGGATGGGGCAGGGATCAGGGTCAGGATGGGATTGGGAGTGGGATGGGATTGGGATTGAGAACAGGGTGGGATCGGGACAGAGGAGGATGGGGGAATCAGGATTGGGGTGGGAACGGGGTTGGGAATGGAGATCAGGATGAGGACGGAGTGGGGAGTGGGGCGGGATGGGGTGGAGGTCGGGATTGGGATTGGGATGGGATCAATGGGATCAATGGGATCAATGGGATCAATGGGATCAATGGGATCAAGGGGATGGGGGTGGAGACTGGAGGATGCCGGGACTGAGAGGGAGGGGGGACCAGGAGTGGGATGAGAAAAGCAGAGGAGGATGGGGGAATCAGGATTGGGGTGGGAACGGGGTTGGGAATGGAGATCAGGATGAGGACGGAGTGGGGAGTGGGGCGGGATGGGGTGGAGGTCGGGATTGGGATTGGGATGGGATCAATGGGATCAATGGGATCAATGGGATCAGATGGGATCAAGGGGATGGGGGTGGAGACTGGAGGATGCCGGGACTGAGAGGGAGGGAGGACCAGGAATGGGATGAGAAGATGTGGAAGCAGGGATGGGACCAGACTCGGGGTGACAGGGACGGGGGGACGGGCCCATCTCCCCTCCCCCCGGCCCCTTCCCTTCCCCCACCCCGCTCCAGCCCCTCTTCCCCCGCTCCTTTCCTTCCCTTTTTCCCTCTTTGTTGCTTTTGGGGTTTTCCCTGCCCATTCTCTTTCACTTTCCCTGGTTTTGGGGCAGTTTTTCCTCCTTTGCTTCTTTCCCTGAGTGCTTTTCTCCCCTGTTCTTGGGGAAACCCAGAATTGCCCAAACCCCCATCCCACATTCCCATATCCCAAATCCCAAACCCCAGACAGGAGTTTGAGGCGCAGCGCAGCCCAGACCCTAATCCCAATTCCCAATTCCCAATCCCAATCCCAAATCCTAATCCCATCCCAGACAGGAGTTTGAGGCGCAGAGCAAAACCCCAAATCCCAATCCCAAATCCCAATCCCAAACCCCAGGCAGGAGTTCGAGGCGCAGCGCAGCCCGGACCTGTCGCGGGACATTTACCTGCAGGACGTTCACTGCGTCAGCTCCCTGTGCAAGGCCTACTGCCGCGAGCTGCCCAACCCCCTGCTCACCTACCAGCTCTACGACAAGTTCGCCGTGAGTCCCTGTCCCCGGATGTCCCCGGATGTCCCCGAAGCGTCCCCAGCGCGGCGGGTGGCCCCGTGTCACCGCGCTGTCACCACGCTGTCACCGCACTGTCCCCGCAGGACGCCGTGGCCATCCAGATGGAGGAGGCGCGGCTGGTGAAGATCAAGGAGGTGCTCAAGGAGCTGCCGGCGCCTCACTACAGGTGAAGGGGGGTGGGGACAGCCCCGCGGCCCCGGCGGTGTCCCCTGCGCGGGTGGCGGGGCTGAGGTGTGGCCGGTGTGGCAGGACGCTGGAGTTCCTGATGCGGCACCTGCTGCGCATGGCCGCGCACAGCGGGCGCACCAACATGCACGCGCGGAACCTGGCCATCGTCTGGGCCCCCAACCTGCTGCGGTGGGTGCCACCTGTCGCCTGCGGCACCTGCTGCGCATGGCCGCGCACAGCGGGCGCACCAACATGCACGCGCGGAACCTGGCCATCGTCTGGGCCCCCAACCTGCTGCGGTGGGTGCCACCTGTTGTTGTCACCGTCACCTGTCACCGTCACCTGTCACTGTCACCTGTCGCTGTCACCGTCACCCGTCACTGTCACCTGTCGCTGTCACCATCACCTGTCACTGTCACCGTCACCTGTCGCTGTCACCGTCACCTGTCACCGTCACCCGTCACCGTCACCTGTCGCTTTTACCATCACCCGTCACTGTCACCGTCACCTGTCAGTGTTCACTGTCACCATCACCCGTCACTGTCACCGTCACCTGTCAGTGTTCACTGTCACCATCACCCGTCACTGTCACCGTCACCTGTCAGTGTTCACTGTCACCATCACCCGTCACTGTCACTGTCACCTGTCACTGTCACCTGTCACTGTCACCATCACCCGTCACTGTCACTGTCACCTGTCACCGTCACCATCACGCATCACTGTCACCGTCACCTGTCGCTTTTACCATCACCCGTCACTGTCACCGTCACCTGTCACCATCACCCGTCACTGTCACCGTCACCTGTCACTGTCACCGTCACCTGTCAGTGTTCACTATCACCGTCACCCGTCACCATCAACTGTCACTGTCACCGTCACCTGTCGCTGTCACTGTCACCCATCACTGTCACTATCACTGTCACCTGTCACTGTCACCGTCACCTGTCACTGTCACCTGTTGCTGTCACCTGTCATTGTCACCATCAGTCCTGTTACCATCAGTCCTGTCACCCTCAGTCCCATCACTGCCAACCCTGTCACTGCCAACCCTGTCACTGCCAGCCCTGTCACCCTCAGCACTGTCACACTCAGCCCTGTCACCCTCAGCTCTGTCACCCTCCATAACAAGGTGACCCCACGTGTCCCCCATTGTCCTCCCCACCCTGTGGTGACCCTGCTGTCCCCTCACCCCACAGTGACCCCGCTGTCCCTCACCCCGTGGTGACCCCACTGTCCCTGCTGTCCCCTCACCCTGAGGTGACCCCGCGGTGACCCTGCTGTCCCCGCTGTCCCCTCACCCTGAGGTGACCCCACTGTCCCCTCACCCCATGGTGACCCCACTGTCCTCGCTGTCCCCTCACCCCATGGTGACCCCACTGTCCTCGTTGTCCCCTCACCCCGTGGTGACCCCACTGTCCCCGCTGTCCCCCGCTGTCCCCTCACCCTGAGGTGACCCCGCGGTGACCCCGCTGTCCCCTCTGTCCCCAGCTCGAGGGACATCGAGGCCTCGGGGTTCAACGGCACGGCGGCGTTCATGGAGGTGCGCGTGCAGTCCATCGTGGTGGAGTTCATCCTCACCCACGTGGAGCAGCTCTTCGGGGACGCGCCGCTCCGAGGCAGGGGACACCGCGGGGACACCGCGGGGACAGCACGGGGACAGCATGGGGACACCGCGGGGACACCACTGGGACACTGCGGGGACACCACTGGGACACCGTGGGGACAGCATGGGGACACCGTGGGGACACCGGGGGGACATTGGGGGGACACCGCGAGGACACTGTGGGGACAGCATGGGGACACCGTGGGGACACTGCAGGGACACCGGGAGGACACCAGGGGGACACTGTGGGGACACCGTGGGGACACTGTGGGGACACTGGGGGGACACCGCAAGAACATCGGGGGGACACTGTGGGGACACTGCGGGGACACCGCAGGGACACTGGGGGGACATTGGGGGGACACCGTGGGGACACTGGGGGGGACATTGCGGGGACATCAAGGGGACATTGGGGGGACATCAAGGGGACACTGGGGGGACATCAAGGGGACACTGGGGGGACATCATGGGACACCATGGGGACACTGGTTTGGGGGTCTCCAGCTGGGGAATTCACCCCGTCATTCCCTGATCCTCGCGGGGACATTGACACCTTTTTGGGGTTTCCGGGTGGGGACATCCCTGATCCTGGGGGGACACTGACACCCCATTTTTGGGGGTCTCCAGGTGGGGAATCCCCCCTGACATTCCCTGATCCTGGGTGGGGGTCCCAAGGGGACACTGAGGATTCCGGGGTGACACTGTCCCATGCTGGGGTCCCAGGTGGGGACTGTCCCGGGGTGGGGCTCTGGGGGACACTGAAGGTCCCTGAGGTGACACTGTCACACCTTTCGGGGTCTCAGGACACTGAGGGTCCCTGAGGTGACACTGTCCCATGCTGGGGTCCCAGGTGGGGACTGTCCCAGGGTGGGGCTCTGGGGGACACTGAAGGTCCCTGAGGTGACACTGTCACTCCTTTCGGGGTCTCAGGACACTGAGGGTCCCTGAGGTGACACTGTCACATTTTCGGGGTCCCAGGTGGGGACTGTCCCCATCACTCGCTGCTCCTGCCCAGGACGTGTGGCTCTAGGGGACACTGAGGGTCCCTGAGGTGACACTGTCCCATGTTGGGGTCCCAGGTGGGGACTGTCCCCGTCGCTCGCTGCTCCTGCCCGGGGGCGCCGCCCCCCTGCACGTCCCGGCCGCGCTGAGCCAGGGCGACGGCCCCCCCCAGATGCGGCCCTACCACACCATCATCGAGCTCGGCGAGAACAGGTACGGCCACCTGGGGCCACCTGGGCGCAGGTGACAGCCCCGCCCCACCTCAGGGAACCCCAGGGACCCCCAAATCCCGGGCCTGGCTCAGGTGGTCCCAGCTCACTGTGATGCAGGTGGCCTCAGGTGTGCCAGGGTGTGCTCAGGTGTCCCCCAGGTGTCCTTCCAGGTATACCCCAGGTGTCCTCAGGTGTGTCCAGGTGTGCTCAGGTGCCCCCAGGTATATCCCAGGTGTGTCCAGCTGTCCCCAGGTGTGCTCTGGTATATCCCAGGTGTATCCCAGGTATATCCCAGGCATCTCTAGATGTGCCCAGGTACATCCCAGGTGTCCCCAGGTGTGCCCATGTGTAGCCCAGGTGTATCCCAAGTGTGCCCAGGTGTATCCCAGGTGTCCCCAGGTGTGCCCACGTATATCCCAGGTGTCCCCAGGTGTGTCCAGGTGTAGCCCAGATGTCCCCAGGTGTGCCCACTATATCCCAGGTGTCCCCAGGTGTCACCAGGTGTATCCCAGGTATATCCCAGGTATCCCAGGTGTGCCCAGGTGTATCCCAGGTGTCCTCAGGTGTGCCCAGGTGTATCACAGGTGTGCTCAGGTGTATCCCAGGTGTCACCAGGTGTCCCCACGTGTAGCCCAGGTGTGCCCAGGTGTATCCCAGGTGTCCCCACAGGAGCAAGGGCTCTCTCAAGGCCAAGAAGTGGAGATCCATCTTCAACCTGGGCCGCTCCGGGCACGAGGCCAAGCGGAAACCGGGGAAGGCGGAGGAGAAAGGTGGGAATTCGGGGGGGTCCCATGGACTGGGGGGGGCTGTGTCCCCAAATGTCCCCAAATCCCCCAATCCCCTTCTCCCGCCCCATTCCCAGAGAAGTGTGGGAAGGTCACCCTGCGGCCGGCCAAGAGCATGGACTCGCTCAGCTCCGGCCCCTCCGGACCGTCCGGTGAGAGGGACCCTCTGACCCCTGGGACTGTCCCTCTGTGGCTCGGGATTGTCCCTCTGTCCCCTGGGATTGTCCCTCTGTCCCCTCGGGATTGTCCCTCTGTCCCCTGGGATTGTCCCTCTGACCCCCTGGATTGTCCCTCTGTCCCCTCAGGATTGTCCCTCTGTCCCCTGGGATTGTCCCTCTGACCCCCTGGATTGTCCCTCTGTCCCCTGGGATTGTCCCTCTGTCCCCTCGGGATTGTCCCTCTGTCCCCCCCATACCCCCGGGTTCCCCGTCCCCCCGGGACCCCCGGCCCGCTCCGGACGCGCCCCTCCGCAGGCTCGGACGCCGCGCGGCTGCTGCCGAAGCTGTCGGTGAAGCTGCGGCCGCAGCGGCAGCACAGCTCGGACGCGGCCCCCGCGGCCCCGGAGCCGGCCCCGGAGCTGGACGAGAGCCTGGAGGAGCCGCTGGAAGCGGCGGCCGAGAGCAGCACCAAGTCGGAGCCCACCACCCCCAAAGCCCCCCGGGCGGGGCCGGGGGTCTGCGGCCGCTCCCGCGCCGAGAAATGCGCGGGGCTCCACATCTCGGGCCCCTTCTCGGTCACCGTCCCCTTCCACATCACCTCCAACCTGTCCCGCCTCACCCGGGGGCTCCCGTGCCCCGCGCTGGAACGGGAACAGACCCCCGGCAGCCCCCCCGAGCCCGCCCGGGACCCCCGGCCCCGCTCCGGTGAGACCCCGCGGTGGGACACCCGCGGGATCACCGGGACACCGGGATCGGGGGGACACCGGGATAAGGGGACAGCGGGATCACGGGGACGCTGGGACTGGGGATACCAGGATCGGGGGGATCCCGGGATCGAGCGGGACAACGGGATCAGGGTGAAGTCGGGATCGGTGGACACCGGGATCAGAGGGACACCGGGATCAGGGGCGACAACGGGATCAGAGGGACACAGGGATTGGAGGGACACCGGGATCAGAGGGACACCGGGATCAGGGGGGACACCGGGATCGGGGGATACAGGGATCAGAGGGACACCGGGATCAGAGGGACACCGGGTTAGAGGGGAACCGGGATCGGGGGATACAGGGATCAGAGGGACACCGGGATCAGGGGGACACCAGGATCGGGGGGACACCGGGATCACCGGGACGCCGGGATCGGAGGAATACCAGGACTGGGGACACCGGGATCGGGGGAACACCAGGAGCAGGGGAGACACCGCGATCAGGGGGAACAGCGAGATCTGGGGGACATCGGGATCGAGGGGACACCAGGATCGGGGGGACACCCAGATCGTGGGAATATCGCGATCGGGGGGACACCGGTACCGAGTGGGGGCCGGTACCGAGCGCTGCCGGCTCTCCCCGCAGAGGATGCGGAGCAGACCCGGCTCTCCCTGGAGCTCCGCGACTCCTTCGCCTTCCTGGACGGCCCCGAGACGTGGCTGGAGGGCGGCGGGGACGCGGAGGCGGCGGCGCGGAGCCCCGGGACCGGGGATGAGACCCCCGGGATCGGGGATGGGACCCTCGGGATCGAGGAATGGACCGCCGAGATGGAGGATGGGACCCTCGGGATCCAGGAATGGACCGCCGAGATGGAGGATGGGACCCTCGGGATCCAGGAATGGACCCTCAGGATCGAGGATGAGACCCCCGGGATCGGGGACGGGTTCCCGGCCGTGGAGGAGGGCATGGAGAGCGGGTTCATGAACGTGAGCACCCGACGGCATTCCCGGGATTTGGGGATGGGTGGGACCAGTGGAGGCGGGAGGAGGGGGTGGGGTGGGATTGGGATGGGATCAGTGGGATTGGGATGGGATTAATGAAATTGGGGTGGGATTAATGGGATGGGATCAGTGGGATGGGATTGGGATGGGACAGGATGGGATGGACAGCACTGGATGGGGTGGGATGGGATTAATGGAATGGGATGGGATGGGATCAATGGGATGGGATCAATAGGATCAATGGGATCATTGGGATCAATGGGATGGGATTGGGGTGGGATCGATGGGATCAGTGGGATGAGATGGGATGGGATCAATGGGATCAATGGGATCAATGTGATGGGATGGGATCTATGGGATCAATGGGATCGATGGGATCAATAGGATCAATGGGATCAATGGGATCATTGGGATCAATGGGATCAAGGGGATGGGATCAATAGGATCAATGGGATCATTGGCATCAATGGGATCAATGGGATGGGATCAATAGGATCAATGGGATCAATGGGATCATTGGCATCAATAGGATCAATGGGATGGGATCAGTGGGATCATTGGCATCAATGGGATGGGATGGGCAGGGGGACACAGTGACACCCACCCGCGGGGTCCCGGCCGTGCCTGGGGGTCCCACCCATGTCCCCCCAGCCAGGTGAGCGCTGGGCGGAGCAGCCGGACAGTTACCTGTCCATCGAGGAGTGCACGGAGCAGGACATGTTCTTCCTGGCCCCCGGCGCCTCCGACCCCGACTCCGACCCCGACGAAATCTTCCTGAGCGCCCACGACGAGCTCAGCCCGCTGGGGACCCCCGAGGGACCCCCGGGAGAGGGGACAGCCCTGGAGATCCCGGAGATCCCGGAGATCCCAGGGACCCCAAAAGTCCTGGAGATCCTGGAGATCCCAGAGGCCCCAAAAATCCCAAAAGTCCTGGAGGCCCTGGAGATCCGTGAGATCCCAGAGACCCAAGGGATCCCAGAAATCCCAAATGTCCTGGAGATCCCAGAGACCCCAAAAGTCCTGGAGACCCCAGAAATCCCAAAGATTCTGGCCCAAAAACCCCTGGAAAAGGACGGTCCAGGAGTGGGGGACCCCCGTGGGGAAGGGGGCGGAGGGGAGGGGGCTGCAGAGGGAGACCCCAGCCCCAGGAGGGGGGTGTGGGGTGAGGGG